GCTCCGTCACCCTCAGAGGGAAGAAGTTCTTCCTCATGTTCAGCTGGAACTTCCTCTGCTTCAGTTTGGGCCCATTGCCCCTTGTCCTGTTGCTGGCACCACCGAAAAGAGTCTGGCCCCGTCCTCCTGACACCCACCCTTAAGATATTTATAGGCATTTATAAGGCCCCCCCTCAGCCTTCTCTTCTTCAGGCTAAACAAGTCCAGCTCCCTCAGTCTTTCCTTGTAGGAGAGATGCTCCAGTCCCCTCATCATGTTTTAATGTAGATGGCACAGACCAGGCACGCTCTTTAGAATGCAATGTTACTCTTTACTCCCTGCAAGCACCAAGAATACATCATTTTCCCCACAGCCCCTTCATTTTCCCCACCATCCATCAGGTAACATTTACAGGGGGTGGGGGAAGGCACACGACAGGGGCTGGGGTCTTTCTTTCCAGGCAGCTCACTCTCTCACCTAACTCCCAAGATTTAAGGTGATTTCAGCATTTAAGGATTAAAGGCGTTTTAACAGTTTATATTGCTTGAAGCACCTAAGGTGGCTTAAACGCTTAATGCTCCTTTCGGGGGTTTAAGGCGGCTTAACCGTCTGTGCCACCTGACGAATCTACGGGAGCTCAAAAGCCCACGCTCCCTCTAAAACAGTAAGGACGTACCTCGAAACGGCGCTGGATTTTAACAGTGCCGCCCTGCTCGGCTCCCCCCGGGCCGGGCTCCGTGCGGGAGGGTGCCCCAGCCCTCCGACCCCCCGCCCTCCCGGGGGGTCCCGGCACCATCATACGCTCCGGGCAAAGCCCACCCCCGGCCCTGCCTTCCCTCACGCTTAAAGGGGCCGGGGCAGGGAGCTCCCCGCTGCCCCCGGAGCACAGCGGCACGGGCACGGCTGCCGGCTCGGGCTGGTTTTGTTTACGGGATCTGAGATCGTTTCCAATTTATAGTCAGCGAGTTCACCAAGGGTGATTAAAACTGGAAACAGTAAGGTCTCATGAAGCCTCGTTCCAAATCAAAGCTTCATCCAGGAAAAGCTGTGCGGTTTTTCCTCCGTGTTTCCTGCGGGATGGAAACAAACAAGCAAACAGTTCTTCTGGACGAGCAGATTTCTGTCGGAAATGTCTCATCCTCCACCGCAGAAAATGGTTATTATCTCTAGTCTAAACAGAGCCTGTTCAGATTCGGGTCCTTGCTTCCGCACAGCCCAGCCGGCTGGGTCCATGGAAAGCAGTACACGGGGCTACCAGGAATTTAGGGAGCAGGCAAATTGTCTTCTGCTCATGCTAAGATCCACCTGAAGGGATGTCAGTGACTCCACAAAATGAGAAGCAGTGAAAAAAGGAGAGAGAAAAACAAACTGCAGACTTGCCCACTCTGCAAAGAGCTGGTGAATAGCCCGGCCGTTCTGGGTACGAGCAAACGTACTGGTAGGTCCCCTTCCACTGGGGAGGAGGTTGGGGGCCGGACCAGCACTGGGAGCTGGAAGCGACAAGTGTCAACAGCTGCAGCCTCTGGCAGTCCTCAGCACTTGGCAAAACAGGATTAAAATGGGCACCATAAATCATCAGTGGGTCTCGCTGCCGTGGAAGCCAACTGAGGCCAAGAGCTTACAGATTTATTGTTTAAAGGAATGAGTTGAATACAGATAATAAATGGCAAGAATACGCAGAGCTGTAAGAAATAAACTACTTTTAAGCCCTTCCACAAGTGACGTTAGACATTCAGGACATTTATTTTCCAGGTATGAAACAATTTGAGGTAAGCTGGCCTACAGCGAGATGACATCCCCCAGCATGGCCCGCTGGAAAGGACTTTGAAACCTCCCCTGAAGGACCTGGCTCTGGCTCCCGTGGGTGGCAGCAGCCCGGCCTGGGGCAGCACTGCGGCCGCTCCCGCGCCCCATGCCTTCCCCGGGGGGATGCTGCAGGGCCCATCTCCATCCTGCGCCGCCAGCAGCCGCCCGGGCCGGACACCGGGCATACGGGGACCCTGCAGTTTGCAGAAGTCATCGTGGCTAAGGCTAGCTTCCCATAAAACATCTCCGTAAGGAGATGTATTCAGTAGCTGATTAATGAGTGTGGTTTACCACAAAATCATACTTCACAGGCCTACTCTTTTCAATAATATTCCCATAAATAATATTACTAAAAATCCAAGAAACATTCCAGATCGCGCTGAAGCTGCGCTGCGGTCCCAGCGCCTCGCCTGCTGTCTTCCCCTTTGCGGTGCATCAACGCAAACGTAATTCTTTCAGGGAGTTTCCAAGGGAAGAGAGGGGCGAAGGGACTGGGACGTGCCTACGCCGGGCAGAGCCAGGCCCACGCTTTCAGCCTCAGAGACACGTGCCAGGTGACCATATTTGAAAAGCACTGAGCTGCTCCCACCCGGGGACCTCCCCTTTGGCAGCCGGGGGCCACCCAGGGGCTGTAGGGCCGGAGTCCG